TCATCATCCTCGTCAATAAGTGAAAATAGGGGAGAAGCAGAAGTCGCAACGACCAGAACAAGGATGAAGACAGAAGCAGCAACAACTGGAATTGAGACGAAGGCAAGAGTGGCAATGGCTGAGACGGGGGCAAAGGTTGAAGGCACGGGGGCAAAGGTTGAAGGCGTAGTGGCCCTTCTCTTTTGGAACGAGGGTACGGGGGCCCTCGACCTCATCACAGCCCCTCTGATCGGACCTAGAGAAATCAGCATGAGGGGAAGACATAGACGGAAGAACCACGTCGCCGACAATAGGGAAGAGACTACCTACCGAGGGAAAAGACAACCTGAATTTCTGAGAGAAACTCGACCAGTCATGTATCCCCGCCGTATGAGGAAGGATTTGTCTGACCCAATAGGCAATATGGGTCACTAACTGGAGAGGTCAAATAGTAGTTGTAGAAAAGGAAGAGATGATTAACCAACCCGCAACAAGAAAAATGTAAAAAAGAAAACATAAAAAACACGAGCACTTATGAGTGGGGTTCCAAGCCTCAAGGAAGTCGGCGGCGGCGGACACTACGAACTCGGTCCTGACAAAGAAATAATCAAGCCAAAAGTGACGTCTAGCCTTGTCGTCCATCCTCATCACCAAGCATTTCCACCCACGGTGGTGAAGATTCAGCAATGCCTCTAGATAGAAATATGGGGCAAATAGGTGAATTAGATGGCGTACCATAATACGTCGGTTAATTTGACGAACTTTGCTAATATTTTGAACACCTTGAAGACGTAAGGGGCAAGTTGCGCCGGGCACACGTTATAATAGCGGCACAATTCTTCTGTCAATGAAGACAAGGGGAATGAATAGCCGATTATGAACGGATATGCATAAAGGGAACAGAATCTGGGACGATGGACCCACACTTAGCCATCACTCGCGGGGATCAACTCCACGTGACCAGGAAGGTCGAGCCTAGCCTTAAATTCGGCTAAATGCTCAACCGTCATTGTAGATCGGAACCTCTCAGTCACCACGTCCAGCGCCTTGTGAAAATTAGGTTTAGCATCGGGATACCGAGGTACAATCTTCTCTACAGTAGGGAGGGTTTCCTCCTTAACAACAACTCTGATGTCTTCCCCATGATCAGGAAAAACAACATCCACAGGGATAGAATGATCTTCCATGTGGATATCCGATGGGAGGTTCGACATTGTTATAGATGGAGACAAAGAAACAGAGAAAGCAACAAAGAAGCGATAAAGTTCTACGAAGGAGAATAAGGGGTTTTGCTTAAGAAATAGAAGGAGTGTGAAAAAACTTCAAAATCAACGAACCTCCTCCTATTTATAAAGTTTTAGGGGTAACAGAATCGAAACGGCTGGTCATGATTAGCACAGAGATCGAAACGGCAGAACCTATCAAGGGTCAAACGAGAATCGACGCAATGCGTCGGGGAACAGCATCATCATGTCACATGATGTCATGACATCACTCATTCTCTTGGACCAGATGGATCCAACAAATTACCCGAAAAATTTAAGGAATTTGAAATACGCGGCCCATAGAGAGCCACGTTGCCTGACCGCCACAACGACCACGACCCATATAGTCTTCTCGATAAGCTCAAGCACAATCGACATTATCTGCTCATCAAACTCGCCCGTGAGGACAACCTCAATAAGCGGAGAGACTAACTGTATAGGCCAAAAATCATCTTTGATATAAGTGAGCCACGTCAGCATTAAGAGAGTCTTCATTGGCTACCACTTGTTATCAGTACGACTTCAATAAAGACCTACCCGAGATCGAGGTAGTCTCTTAAGAGATTAAGGGTGTGGTCGATGAGTCAGTGAAGACCAAGTCGAGAAGCCATCATAGATCAAGGTCGAGGTCGAGCACCTTAGACAGAGTTATAATGGCTAGTTTTAGGATAAGACACAAAAGAGAATATTCTAGTGGATATTCTCTTTACCAGTACTATTAGGGTTTTTAGGTATGTGTTCCCTATAAATAGAAAGAGACACAATGATAGGGGACACAAGATATTCCTTTGTAAGAAAAGACATAGAGAGATTCTGGCCTTATTGTAAACATACAAAAAATACATTTTTACTAAGATTCTTGCCTAACGTTTCCCCTTGATCCAAGAACAACCTGAATGTTTGAAAGTTCATCATTCATTCATCATTATCAGAAAGAATATCCACAGATTTCACCCCTTTTTGGGTGACTCACATGTTCTTATTTACTTAAATGTCATTCATTACTATTTATTGTTAGTCTATCCTACTCTTTCAGAGTCATTAAATATTGTTAGCATTGTTCACATTTATTATCATTCGGTCACATACGCATATTATTCTAATATAAAATCAGTTAATACATCTTTTGAATATTAATATTAACTAAAAATAATTTTATTTTATTTAAATTTAATTGGTTGAACTCAAATCTAAATTTTGAGTCACACAACAGGTTCATGTCGTGAGATGTTATGCTTAAGCAAATCGGTACAAAAGGGTAACTAATCAGGTTGGTCGACCACCTGATTCAGAGCAATCGTCAACCGTTAGATCTTTGAAGGTAGGCCCCACTATTTTCCATAGTAACGGAGAGGAGTTCCTCTGTCACCCGTTTCGGCGGGAAAGAGGACGATCGTTATGGCCTTGTGGGCTATGATCCGAAAATACCCTTATTTCTGCAGCCAAATGACAGATGTGACATTTTTATTTATTCTTCCACTTCAGTTTATTTCAAATACGTTAATAATTTACTTTTGATTGTTAGGTACAAAAAAATGTGATAACATGCTTGATTATTTTATTCAATTTTGGCTAAGTTCAGTTTTGTCAAAATATACAAATACATGTTTTCTCGCTGCTATCTTATTTCCCACCCGTTTATTTTATTTTGCGAAATTAGCATGTTACAAATGTTAAGAAAGTTAATAGGGTTAATTCCTCCATACCAGTTAATGAGTTCAATTCATTACAAGTGAAATGATTGATCTCGAGTTAATTAACAGAGTTCTTAGTGGTATATATATATATATATGCATTGATAAGTTATTATGACTCTATTTGTTATCTTTTTTTTTTGAGTTTTTTAGTGAAAATAAAAGTAGAACTATAATACTAACTAATCTATTTGGTCTTTGATTGTCGGGTGAATAGGCAAATTTTTGTATTTCTCCGGGACATCTCTGAAGACAAGCAAAATTCGAGTTATAAAATAGAATTTACGACAGTGATCTTGACTAAGAATCGGGATGATAAATAATAAGGTAAAAAGAATCAGCAAAAAATTGATCACAAGCAAGACGCTAGATTATTATTCACTTTTGTTTTTTGAACATAATTAATTGGAACACTTTCTATTAAAATTGTATAAATCTAATGATATGTCCCATTCATATTTTAAGGTTATGCAAATTCATATGTACAATAGTTATTTAAATTAAATATTTTATAAAATATTTAAAATATTTTAAGGTTTAACATTGCTAAGATGTTAAGAAACCTAAAAATGAAGTGAATAATAGGTAATTTAAGGCGTTATTCAATATATTTTGTATTTAGTTATTATGTATGATTATTTGTTTTGAATCATATTATTCAAATTTTTTGTATCACAAATTGTATGGTTATGATATTTTGTGCCATTCAATTATTTCTCACTAATCACATGATTTGTTTCCTTTATCTTGATAAATTATTTTTTGGTACATTGCATTAAGAAGCAAAATAACAATTGTAAATTTGTTGAAACAAATAAAAACTTAATTTGCTATGATTAGTTATTTTAATAATATACTAGTACATATATAACATTAAAGAAAATGGCAAAACCACGGAGGTAGTTAAGTTCCAAGACAAACCACGGAACAATAAATTTTTGGGAAAAGGGCCAAATATACTCTCTATTTTCGAACATTATCTACATTTAACATCCGTTATACTATAAGACTAAATTTACCACTGTCATTATACTGTCTGACCAAATTTACTCCTATCATCAACAAACATTTAAAAATTACTCATTGATATGTTAAGTATTCCAAAATCTCCCAAATTCCTTTTATTTAAATAATTTGTTATTCTTCTTGCTTTACTATTTTCAGAAATTGCTATTGATGTGAATGCTAAAGTTACTAGACTATACAAATTACTCATAAATATTTTTAATTACCAATGCGCCAACTTCTCTTCTTGTAATAATGGGTTTGGAATTGATTTAAAATTTTATTTATTTTTCAACCATATACATACCGTAGAATTCAGTGTGTCTATTTATTGTGTATTATATGCAACTGATCATCATGTATGTACATGTATATTCAAATATATTTTGTCATTGTCTGGTTAGTATAGAGTTCGATCGACTAACTTAAGAGTGCATAATGTGTAGTCATTTGATTAAAGCAAAGTTAAATTCGACAATGTAAAATCTCCAGGAACTTCAACTTCAATCACTAATACTTGCAAAGTTTCCATACATTTGATGCAACAAATTTATTAAAATTTTGATATTGTAAATACTTTTAGAATTTAGACATGCTACCAAATTTAGATTTTTTAATTTACTATACTTTATTTATTAACGACTGTATTATTTTAAAAAATATTTTCTTGTTTTTTTTTTTTCAATTCAGAAAGCAGATAAATGCCAATTATTTCAAAAATAATGGACCAAGAAGAAGAATCAGTAACTTAATTAAAATGATTTCGGAGATTCCGGGTCACTTGACGGATTGAGGGGTAAATTTTTAAGTTTGCTGATTGTAGGGATAAATTTGGCCCGATAATATAATGGTAGGGATAAATTTGGCTCGATTTAAATGTAGACAATATCTGAAAATAGAGAGGTATATTTAATTGATTACAATTATGCAAATACAACGAAACGAAAGGGCATTATGGGTATTTAATAATCATCTCTCCTTGGACACATTCATGTTGTGGATTCTCTCTGCATTTGACGTGAAAATAACCAACCAAGAAACCTCAAACAAAACAAAAATGCCTCAACGAAACATAATAGAAGTGTAGAACAAACATTGGCATTGCGAGGAGAGAAATAACAATTTTTCAGTGGAAAGGAAAGGAAAGGAAAGGAAAAGGGATTTGCAAAGGGGGTTGTTTTTCTTTCCTTTTCATTCATCATCTCCATATATTGAGGAAGAAAAAAGAAAAGAAAAATAATATAGGGAGATTGATTTCATAATATATATACCCCTTATTATATATTATATTTTTCTTTCCTATTTTCATTTCTAAACCCTTTCCCTTCAATTCTTCTCTCTCTTTTTTTTTCCATCTCATCTTCTTGAATTTGCATTAATACACATTGTGGAGAAGCTAGAGAAGAATGAGAGACCAAAGGCCACGCCTTTAAAGGCAAATTTTTGGGTGCACATTTGCATATATAATGAGCCGCATTGTGGGTAATTGTTGGAGAAAAATATCATTGGTTATTATGGGGTTGTGGATTTGAAGGGAAAAATTGGAGTCTTGATTGATTTCCATTGTGTTTGTTGAGAAATGGTATGGCTTTCTTGCTTTTTTCTGAAGAATTTTCTTAGTTTGCATGTTGGCTTTTGCTTACGTTTTTGTTATTTTCTTCAAGTAGTTGACAGCTGCGGTTATTATATTTTCAATTGCATGAGAAAGGTGGCGTATTTGTTTTAGCTAAACTATACTGTTCTAATGAAGGGTTATTATAATTGCTTCTTGGCGATAAATGGTTCAGATATAATTAAGTCCATAAATGTGTATTCTATTTTATGACTTTAAAGTTTTAGATGAGATGATCACATAATTCAACATGGTATGAGACAGAGGTCTTAGGTTCAATTCTCACTTCCACCCATAATCATCAGAAAGAATTTGCACGTGCTACTACTTAAGCTTTTGGATGAAATGATCACAAAGTTTGTTTCAAAGAAAGGAAATCGAACATAAGGTTCAGAGAAGCTGTATTTTCTTTGATAAGAGAGTGGCAGTTAAATTGCTTTCCCCATGACGGTGTAAGTATATTATAAACTGGCCTTATCCATCTTGTCGATTGGCTAAGGAGTGCATAAGTGTTAGAGTGGGTTAGAGTCCCACATCAGTTGGGGATTGGGCTGGTGCCTAGTGGTCTCCTTATATGGACTTGGGAAATCTTCCTTGCATGAGCTAGCTTTTGGGGTTGAGTTAGGACCAAAGTTCATATCTTCACAATAAGCAAGCCAACTTTCATCACTCCAAGAGGAACTTATTTTTTAAAGCTCACTTTCAACTGTCAAGTGTTGCATACCGCACCTCCAAGTTAGAGGTTCTTGAGATTTGTCAGAATGGGTTATGTCCCGCATTGGTTGGGGAATGTGCCGGTGGTCTCCTTACATGGACTTGGGCAATCTTCATTCATGAGCTAGCTTTTGGGGTTGAGTTAGTCCCAAGGTCCATATCTTCTTCACATGGTATCAGAGCCAGCCATGTGTGTTCCCGTTTGGGCTCTCGTGTTATATTGTCCATGCTCCAATTAGAGGTCTGGGCTTGCGAGGGGGTGTTAGAGTTGGTTAGACTCTCATATTGGTTTTTGGGGTTGAGTTAGGCCTAAGGTCGATATCTTCTTCACAAGATTAAAGCAGGTTAGCCTGCATGAAGCTTCAATTTGGAAACAAAATAGAAGTAACTTTTTGTGTTTGGGTGGCCCCATCTCTGTTAAAGCATTAGCCAGTGTTCTATTCTCCCTGTCAAGATAAATTTTCATAGCTAGCTTTAGTCTCTTCAAAGTATTATTTCTCTAGGCCTAATAACTAAACTCTATAAACGAGATTCCGTTAGACACGCCTTAATGTTTGCTTCGCCTTTCAACTTCTAAATCATCAGCATATGTTACTGAGAGTCAAGATGGCATATTCAAGAGTAAGATATGTAGACAAATATCATGTGTAGTACATCTGTCGTCTCTTATTCTTCTTTTCTCTTCTGATTTTATGTCATGTTCTTCAGTTCTTTTTTGCTTATTAGATCTCCTCTCTGATGTATAAAACAAACCTTCTATGTGCATAGTGGTTTTTAAGGTACAAAATGTTTTAGTGCTGTGACCGAGACTTTGAAAATTCTAAATGTTGTGCAGAGTGTTTCCGCCAGTGTTGTGGTTGGATCTCATGTATGGGTTGAGGATCCTGAGGTAGCTTGGATAGATGGGGTAGTTGCTGAAGTCAATGGTGAAGAGATCACAGTTAACTGCACGTCAGGGAAGACAGTAAGTTTTACATTAACATACACCTTTTACAAGGTTCTATTGTTTACATCATTTAAAGTTCCTTTTCCTTTGTCTTTTAAGCTCTAATATTCTGCTTTTGCTGTATTATGTTTGATCCACATCCTTGGTGCCCGTAGCAAATACTTGAATGATAATGTAATTATGACTTGTTGTTTCCTGCATACATTCTTCTAGATAGTTGTGAAAGTTGGTGAACTAGAAATTAACTTGCTAGTATTGTCCGCTCTGGTAATTGAGCAGATGCCTTGGTGTTTTGACTTGTGTTGTCCTCTTGTAATTGTCTAAATTATCTGTTGAATCTTCATCTTCACTTTTAACTTCCCCTTTTCTTTTCTTTTCTTTTCTTGGGAGAATAAATAGCATCGTGGGATTTGAAATTCCAGCGCATAAACTACTGATTTCAGTCAATTTTGATCTCAGAAGATAAAAATCTGATCGTGGCAGGCAGTATTATTGATAAGATTAGATATGGTTATACTGAGTAAAGGTCTGTTTACCATGTTGTTTGTTTAGCTTACTATGGTCTCTGAGCAGAGTGCTCTTCGGCAAATTTTGTAAATTAGTCTTTATGAGCTAAAATTAGTGTTGGTTTGAATATAACAATGATCATAAAGTGCAATAGTATCCATCTTTAGTGTTTGCAGCATGCTGCTAGCTAGGAAAACAGATTAACAGGATTACATCATTCTATTTTCCCGGTATCTGAATGTGTTGTCTGATAAATCTCCCTGAATTTCCTTTGTAGGTTGTAACCAATCTATCCCATGTGTACGCAAAAGATACTGATGCGCCTTCTTGTGGCGTGGATGATATGACAAAACTTTCTTATCTGCATGAACCAGGAGTTTTGCAGAATTTGAGAAGTCGATATGACATGAATGAAATTTATGTAAGGGCTTTCAGGACGATTGTTATGTATTTTTTTAATCAGATATATTTTCTGTTTCTTTTCTTGATGATTTTTAGGCATTAAGGGGTGGTTTGGTTTGGTTCATGGTTATGTGGGGACTATAATGCAATGAATAATAATGATAGGAATTATGTACAGTGAATAATAATGTAGTATTACACATAAAAAAAATAAGTAAGTTTCCTAGTATAACTTAATGCAGGTTTTATTTAATACCGTCAACCAAACATAACACTAGTTATGCAGGGATAATATTTCCAACCAAATGCTGCCTTAATGTGGAAATTTATTTTCTAATCCATCCAAGCAAACACTGCATTATTTTATGTCAGGATTATTTTTGCTAATCCGTTCAACCAAACAACCCCTTGTGTTTTCTTTTTCTTTGTCATGTCTTGAATAAACTGGTTGAGAAAGCTAACATGTGATTCGGTGCATTCAGACTTACACTGGGAGCATATTGATTGCCGTGAACCCCTTCAAGCGGTTACCCCATTTATATGATAAAAGTGTGATGGAACAGTACAAAGGCATTGCACTTGGGGAGCTGCCCCCTCATCCGTTTGCTATTGCTGATGCTGCTTA